CACACTCCAAACCGCATCGCCCCCACCGCCACGGTGGGGTGTTGGAGATATGGGGAGGGAACAGCACCACCCCCCCTTTAAGTTACCAAGGGTGGAGCAACACTGGGCTAAAGAGAACAGAAATAACAAAATGTACTAAATCCTAAAACACCACTCTGAAAAGAGCTTGGTTGTTTTCATTAGCAGATCCTGACTGACATTAACTTTGTATTCTAGATGGAATATTTTAAAAAAATGGTTCCAAAGTAGCAACTATCTGAAAGCTGTGCTTCCCTTTTTCTTTGCTTCCTTCTGAGAAGTTGCTCAAGGCCAAAAGGTGCTCAGCCAACGGTCGCTCCCCGATCCTTGTTTCAGGTGTGACACAACCTGGGGGTTGGAACTGAAATGATAAAAAACAGACGCTCTTGGACCATTCTCAGCAGAATTATATAGAATATATATACACACTTTATTAGGTATTGCTAATATGCTGCGTGTATTCATTGCCAGTACCCATTGTAGAAGTTTCTTTTATTTTTTAAAGGAAAGCTCTCATATTTTTAACATACTAAACGGTCTGCTCCAGTTTCTCCGTTTGCATGGTTTAGCCAAGAACTCACAGTCAAGAACATAATAAATTGATAAGGAAATAGATGAGAACAATTGTAAAAAAAAAAAAAAGTTTATTTTCCCCCACCCTCATTTATTTTAAGTAAGTCTCTCCAGAGCCAGACCTGGAAACTTTTTCTGCAGTGTTTCCATGTAGAGCAGAAAATAGCAACTATTCAATGGCTGAGTTTATGCAATATGTTCAGCTACTTAAAGCTGAGTTAAAGATCTATCAGCTGTTTTGCACATGCCAAACTTGGTTAGATTTATTTGTGGCTTAGTGTGTTGTGTAAACCCTGCCTATATGGACAGTTAGTGGTGTGAATACAGAATATGAATAGCTTGAGTAAACAGGTCAAAATTCGTGTGAATGCAGCCACTGTGTTTCCTAAGTAAGGCAGCTGTATGAACCACCAATGTTACATAGTTGTGTACATTTCAGCTACCTTTATTTGACAGGGACAACTGGCATTTAGCACTTCAGATACTCCCCTTCTAGCATTTTTTAAATTTTATTTGCTCATTTTATGTCACTTATTTATACTCTGCCTTTAAGGTTCAACAACCCAAGTTGCTGTGTTAAAAAGTGTATAAGGGAGAGTAATAA